AGTTAAACCTGTTTCTACTCGACCGCAATCAACTGATGTTTTCGTTCAACCTGACATACGATATAGTACACACGTCTTTGTACGTCAAGACTCACATCGACGACCTCTCGAATCAGCATACGAAGGACCTTTCAACCAACGATAGCATCAGTGTCGATAGCCTCAAAGCAGATTATTTAGAAGGAAATCCAATCCACGTCTATTTTCACTCGGTACATTCGAACGACATGGCTCCTACACTTATAATACCTCATTCAACAGCCAGTACGCACAATGACACTTTGGCATTATCTGGAAATAAACTTAAAACAACGCGTCCTGGAAGAAGAGAATGATTTCTAGAACATTTGAACGATTATTGCAAGTAAGATACTAGTTGACATTTTATATATAACATAAAAAGCAATTTTAATATGCGTTTATATTTATGTTTTTATTCTAAAAAATAATGAAAAAGCCTTTTTGTAAAAATCCTTTTTACACTATTACGTGAGCACGACTTTATTTTCCATTTTTCTCCCGCTTTGTGTTTTCACGCGCGTACGAGTGTATTTCAACATGCACTTACATTTTTTTTCTTTTCCAGGACGGCTGGAAAAAACGACAAAAAGAACGATGAAGTTTGCAAGAAACGAAAATCTTCATTTTACTTTTTCTTTTTTCACTATATTGTACTTCATGGTCTCTTATAGTAAGGGAAGACAACCAGACGCTGCTAAGCCTAGCAAGCTATCAGAAGAGTGTTTACCAACGAAAAACTCGTTGGGTTTAGACTTCTTGCTGGCCACGTCTTAGTTTTGTCACTACCCCACTAAGGGGGGAGTGATCTGTAGTGGTAAATAAATAGCTCTGTAAGTTTTCGACATTGGATGCTGACCACATTAGTTTTAATGGACTAATCTATCTGAAGGCACTCGGTCATGCATCCGCACCAGGTCACGAAAGGGGACGCCGTGCTCAGCACACCCTGAAACCGCTAGCCAGATTAGATCAGACGATCCTCGATATATTGATAGCTTTTTAAATATATCTTCGAACCTCTTCGCTTCTGTCTTTTGATTTCACTTGGTGGGTCCGATTCATATTAGAAGCTGTTGCTGGTTGAAGTGTTATCGAGCTCTAGATACCTGTGTCATCTTCAACCTCAATTATACAAACCCATAGTAGCCACAGTCAACGCAACATCTTAATTCAGAATTCTGACGTTTGGGTGGGGGCATTCGAGGTAGGAGACCTTCTCAAGTAAATTGCAGTGTATAGAAAGCTCGCTAAGATATGTTAATAGAGCTGAGGTTGCCTGTATCAAAAGACCAGAGTGAGGTACCTTTGCGTTAAACAAAGAGAATTTTCGGAACGATTGATGTCTATGAGTCGGTACAATGTCTGAGCGTCATAACTCAAGCGATCCTCTCAAATCCGAATTAAACACTGAAAACTGTGAGCTGTAGGAGATGCCGCTAGAAGATCAGCAAACAATCAAAATTCAGTCAATCTGGTGATTCACGGAGCGCTTGAGTTGGTAGATGGTGGTCATGATGAAGCTCAAGAACAAGGTATGTACACTTGGCGATGTCTGCCACGTAGCAAAGGGTTTCATAGCGCTACGATAACTAACGTGTCTGATCTACTTTGTCTGTCATACTTTACGACCAATGAATCTCTTTCGTTTGGTGAATATGAACATTAAAAACCAAGAGAACTTAAGCTAATTACGTCTGGTTCAGCTCGTAGAAAGACACACCTGGTCACACTATATGTTGCAATAGCCGACTTTGTATGGTGATAACCTGTAGAAAAGCCAGATAAAACACACCTAAGTGTCGGTTGAACTCGACCAACTATCCAAGACAGAATATGGAGACAATGGTTCGGTTGATAATACACGCTACATAGGAAGAAAACTTACATCGACCAGTTCCCACGGAAATGCAAACTGCTTTTAACAGCAATCCGCTTAAAAGCTCGAATACAGATAATGCCTCAAAAAAGCATCAAATAATAGAAATAAATACCAAGTGCCTGTGCTGCAACGTAAGCACACCAAAGCGTAAATTAGGAAAGACCATAAAAATTTTCAAAATAAAGCTGAAGACCACGATTTCAACTGAAACATAGCTCTCTCCCGAAATCATTAAGGACGGAGAGAATATGCAAGGCATAACATTTCTCCAATATGATAGACTACACTATATAAGAAATGAAACGCATCAACACCTACATCATAGCCCTAAGATCATACGATACCGAACTAACCAAGTTGGCAGAATTATCCCGGCGTTGCTTCGATGACAGAGACTTCAAAACTCTGACTTTTAATATCAGCAAGCAGCACTTAATAACTCCAGGGTGGTTTCATGAGCAACATACATTAGAATTTCAGAACTGCCTGAATGTGTAAAAGAAACCACAAAATTTGTTAACGACAAGAAGTTCTCAAAACTAATAGCAAACCATCAGCTTCTAGTCGAGAACATCCACTTCCGGGCGCCAGTAGAGAGAACTGGCAATGACAGAACACATTTAGTGTCATTAACGAGATACGTTGAGACAACTGGACTTTGAGTGAAAGGAATGCCTGCTGCACTGGAAACATCAGGGCAGACTAAATGACCTTGATTGAGCATCTTCATCGTGACCAATAGTCATAATAATGGAGGAGGCTACTGGGAAACAATGGAGAATATTATTTGGGACCCTATGCTACACAGCATGTCTAAAGAAAGATACAAGCTTTAGAATAAAATATCCTGGCTTTAATGAAGAACAGAACCTTCGTTACATGTTAGAAGTGAGCCCAGCACAAATTAAAAGCTTCCCTAAAAGATTTGGATATCGAAAAGCGGATATAATATCAAACTTTGAAGGGATAGGTAATATAATCAGACCTAGATATCAGATAAAATACAAGGGTCTATAGAGATACGTTTGTTCTTTCAGTTAACCTACTAATGCAAATACAATTGGAAATCAATACATATGGACAGGTTACCGGTATAAACGTTATTTGATTTATAATTTAGACCAAAACTAATACCAATATTAACACTTCTGCAATATTGATTGCTTTTAATATTTCTAAACAAAAAATACTTGCTACCTATAAGTTAAGTTATTAACCAACGGCTATTAACACGCTTCTTACGTCTTATCATTCTTATTATTATGATCCCATTTTTATAGCCCAAAAAATCACCCAAATTTTCATTTTAAGCGTGTTGAGCCTGGAAGCAGATATGTTAAAATAATTACATGTACTTCCCCACCAGATGCTGCCGCCTTTTTGATTAATCTTTCAGCTTATCAATACCCGGAGGATTCTTATTATTCTTGGTAAACTTCGGCGCGCAACAATCTCATCCAATTTGGTATCGAACCAACATCACGTTGATTCTGGTGAGAGAGTAGTGTAGTGACACTGGAATATAACCACAAAATCTTCAAAGCTGAATGCCAGACTACTCAGAAAGTAAATGTTCAACATCCAACGCGGAGAAATACCCAGCGATGGAGAAGGCGGGAACAATGAATGGAAAGAATTGGAGTTAATGTATGATATGGCTCGGATTAGGTTTATTATTGGAGCAGTACTAATATCATAGCAGATCCAAAATTCTACAGGTCTGCGATCGCAAGGGTCATAACGTTGAAGATCTTATCAACCTAGAGATTGCAAAAACGTTTAATATCGAATTCCTCGGTCAATCAAACCAGAGAACTACCAGCGTCTAACACTTCACAACTGTAGTTTTAATTGACGGTCAAGAGTATAACTGCAGAATTATGGACTACTTTGTTATTAGAATAATAATAATACAACTAATCCTAAAATTGTAGATTTGTCATGATGTCACTGCCTAATCTAAAATATTCTATGTGGAAGTCAAACCATTGTCTACACTGACTCATCGTATCGTAACAATTAATAATATGAATTATGAAGTTCCTAAAGAACACACACAGACTAAAGATAGAATAATATATTTGATGTGAGAAAAGACAAGTTATAACGAATGACCACGTACTGAGAGGCTGGGCCACACCACCCGGTTTTTTCATTTATTACTTCCCGCCTTCTCTATTGTTGACCTTCTCTTTGCGTCCCTTGTTGAACATAAATCTTTTCAGTAATTATATGTTCGACTTCAAAAGTCGTGTGGTCAGGGTGCAGTGCCACTAAATGTGCCTATAACTCCCATGTTAGTAATGAGTTTCACAGTGCAATGTCTTAGGTTCGCTATTCTTTTTCCTTGTTCTTTATCAATGAGTCGGAATCCTGTTCTATCCGGGATGATCAATGCCTCTTCAAAAGATATCTTGCAGGTATATATTTGCTCACGGATTACCATTGCTCCATGAATCAGCTATGCCTAATGCATGTTTCGGAACTTACTTGCTGTTGTCATTACCACGATTTATTAGCATATTCCCATCTCGAATTCCCCATTTAACCCTACACACACGTCCTCTTACACAGTTCGTATTACTAATTAAAAAACTTTTTCACTTGTTTATTTACCTCCTGAAATAATCGTCGTTTCTTAGGACTGGAATCATTACTTCATTATTTTTCTCATTGTAACGAACCAACGTTCTACCTGATAATATGAAAGCCGTTAATTCCAGAGACCCTACTGCCCCTGAGCAAACGTACTCGTTTGGATAGAAGTTTCGAAATAACTACCGCGCTGACTAGGATTAGTACAGTCAAGTGGCTAGTCTACTCTCTACTGAACAAGACATAAAGCGGCAAACGCAAAGAATTCAATCGGATCATATCAAATCTTCACAAGAACATGGGATATATTAAAATATATATGGTCTTTGTTTGAGATAAAACGATATCGAAGAAACATATATCAGAGACGATTATTATTTTTCACTTCTTTTTTCACACTATATTAAAACTGAATCCTGTGTATTCGGGCACTTTAAGGTTATCAAAAATATAACAAAGGTAGTCATTCAGAAATGTATAAACTGTTACACAATTTTGTTTAGTTGAACCTTCTAGATAATAAAGGGAGTATTGAATTGTGCGTTACTGTTGTTCGTGTTGTGTAGATAAATCGAGTCACAAACAAAATGATAACCGATAAAAGAGCTGTTGAAGATTCAGGCGTCCCCAAGAATAAAAAAGCGAAGATTGCCAGGGTAGGTTATGGTATATTATATTTATATTTAGGTAAAAAATAAAATGCCAGCTGCTGTGCAAATAACAGCTGAGCAGCTTCTTCGAGAAGCTAAGGAGAGAGAACTAGAAGTTACGCCAAAGGCCCCACAGCAGAAAATCACAAGCCTTTCGGAGTTGAGAGACTTTCAGTTGCGTAAAAGGAAAGATTATGAAGACAACATTAGGAAGAACAGATTGGCCATGCAAAATTGGATTAAGTATGCAAAGTTTGAGGAAACGCAAGGTGAACTTCAAAGGTTAGTCGATTTTCGGCTATCATATCGCAACCAATTCGCTGGTACTATAATTTTTGAACGACCTTTAGACGACGCTAAAGTGGCTTTGAGAACACCCAACTGCTAACTAGGGCTAAATGAGAGTCTAAACGGTGTGAAGTTTAACAATTATAATATACAGTCGTTGGTCATTGATAGAGATTAGATTTATAGTTTTCATCACGAACTGACATCAGCTAAAATGCCAAGACGCTATTTAGACAAATAGTTGAAGAATTTCGCGCCGAAATTCAAGACCTGTTATCGTAAATCTGATTGGTACGTCCATAAGTTATAGTCTCGCCACGAATACTATTAAACTATTTTCTCCGACTTATTATACCGAGTGAGAGTGGTGATTATGGTATGTCGATCCCTTTTAAATTCTGTATAAAAATTCACCGATTCGATGAAGCGATAGTAGACCTCTCGTTGTTAATTGTGAGTGAATAAAATTACAAACTTAAAACCCTGCATCTAATTGAAGTCGACTAAGAGTTTAGTGTCTACTTAATTATTATATATTACGAAATTGTAACTTGTGAAAAAGTAAGAATTTTCATTTTCGTTCAACCAAAACGTAACACTAATATATTAAATTATTATATTGGTTTGATATGCGTATATCTCTGTATTCTTGAGATTGGACTTGTGAAATAAGAATGTATGATCAGGGTCTTTAAATAGTCCTAATTAAGATAAACAGCAGTGGCTAACATGCATACTCATGTCGTCCTTTGAAAATGTTTCGCCTCTAAATCCGTATAAATTGTCTGTAGCCCTTCTGTAATTAGTCTTTGTTCTTAAAACACTATCTGTTTATAGCAGTGTAAATCGTTTTTATCTACTAGGATATGAACCATCTATGTTTAACTATGAATGATTCTTGTGCAGAAAGGCTGTTTATGTCTCAGTTTGTGCATCAGCTGGTGGTTGGTCAACTACAATAATAACCACTTAAGAATGCGTCTAGCACGTGCTAAAATATTTCACAAATTCCAAAAAGTTTATCTGAACTTATGTCTGCAAATCTTCATCGACTGAGATGGTTGGGTCACGTGTGACGTAACAACAATAATTGCACACTTGTTGCCCGACAGTAGCCGCTTCCTTGACGCGGTGACCGAGCTTGCTCATCGTGATGACCCAACCGAGCTATATTGGCTGGAACACATGTTCCTGCAGGTTCTACCATGCCAGGAAGGTCGATTGGAGAACGGTAAGACTAAAAGCAGCAACTCAAGGTCTGAGGGCGAAGTCGTACTGCTGACTGTACAGAGGTGTGACAGCAGTAAGGTGTTTCCTTCGGACAACCAGCATCTACAGCGATGCTGCCTTCTCACAAGGAAGGAAGGGGTTAGAAAAGGTCGACCCTAAAAATGTTACACCTCACCTTACCCCACGGATTTCCGTCTCCGGCGGTAAGGCCCTTTGAAGAACAGAGCTAACACATTAAAAACCTCCCACGAAAAGGCCGTGCGCGACCGGCCTCAAGCAGTTGTCCCGTGGGCTCTGCGGTCACGCACCTAGGTCGTTAAGACCAACACTGACCCGATTTTCTTTTCAGGTCCCTCAAGAAATACCCTTCCACGGTGTGGGCAGCCGGGAAGCGACATCAGCACTCATACCCGTAACAGAACACGAGACGAAGTTGGTCACATTCAAATCCTTCCTACACCTCTTAATGACTCTCTTATCTCCACGACTAACCCTTCTTACGTCCCTTTATCACGTCGCCCCACTAGTGCAAACGATTCGAGTACGCGGAATGTTATTCCTGGTCTCCTGAAACCACGCTCCAAAATACACGCAGGAGCTTGCAACGTTCGAACACTGTGCCAAATAGGAAAACAGGCTTCCTTAGCTAGGACTTTAGAATCTCTCTCCATCGATGTGTACTGCGTCTCCGAAACGCGTACACAGGACCTTGTCCGACTAAACGGAACAGTAAGGACTCGGAAAGATAGGGACACTCTTCGTCGTCTCTGCCTATTCTCCCACTGACTGCAGCTCAGATGATGTAAAAGATGAGTTTTACAGAAAGCTTTCCGACCTTCTCCGAAAAGCTAGGCGTTCAGATGTAGTAATAGTGGCTGGTGCTTTAATGCTCAACTAGGTAAACTAAGCGAAAAGGAAAGACACCTGGGTGCATCTTATAATGTCGTGACTCAAAGAACAGATAATGGCGACCGTCTGTTGCAGCTATGCTCAGATAACCGCCTGTTTCTTGCAAATACTAACTTTAAGCATAAGGAAAAACATCTTTTGACATGGCGACCCCTAATTCGTCCCAACGTTGGACCCAAATAGATCACATCGCTATCAGCCACCGATGAAGGGGCTCGATAGAAGACTGTCGCTCATTCTGGAGCACATGCTTAGACTCAGATCATGCTCTAGTGCGAGCGCGTATTTGTCTACGTCTTACTGGACGTAGGAAAGATGGTGCAAAGAAACCCCCTAGGGTCCTACTTAATGATAGTCAAGCTAAGAGTATATTTCAGGAACAACTAGAAAAACAGTTAGACAGCTGTGTAACTGATGCCCACCCTGAGGCAGCGTGGAATGACATCCAAAAAGCTGTAGAAACAGCAGTGATGTCTGCAAGTACGGTAAACCATAAGGTTAGGGAGAAACACTGGATCTCAGCAGCGTCTACCGCACTGATAGATGGTCGAAAACTCATTCCATCTGGCTCTGAACATAACAAAGAGCGGAGTCAGCTTAAGCGTAAGCTGATAAGAAGCCTATGCATTGATCGTGAACAGTGGTGGGTAGCGAAACCAAGAGAGATGGAAAAGGCAGCGACAGTAGGTAACAGCAGGCAACTGTTCAGACTTGTTAAGGAAACCGGTATAAGGAACTCAAGTGTTAGCGAAACTATCTCCCGAAAAGATGGACATATTATTCATTCTCAATCCAGGAGATTGGATCGATGGGCAGAACACTTTAGGGATCAGTTCAACTGGCCTTCAGCCACACTTCAGTTTCCCACGATCTCCAATCTACCTGAATTGTAAGTTAATGTGAATCCTCCGACTCTTGACGAAGTTGAAAAAGATACAGGAAATCTGAAGCGTGGGAGAGCAGTAGGTCCTGACAGGTTTACCCCTGAGATTTATAAGGTTGGTGATCCAGTATTAGCAGTGAAATTAACTAAGGTCTTAGGTAGAATTTGGGAACTGGACGTAATCCCATCTGACTGGTCTCAATCACTGATTGTGCCAGTCTATGAGGAAGGACAAAAGTCCTCTTGTGACAATCACAGAGGAATCAGTTTGACTAATATAGTGTCTAAAATATTAGCTTCAATAATACTTCGACGTCTAACCAAAGCTCGTGAAATGCAGACTAGAGAAAACCAGGCTGGTTTTCGACCTGGACGTGGTTGTATAGATCAGATATTCACTCTACGTCAGGTTCTAGAACATAGACACACATTCAGACGCCTCAAAATGGTAGTATTTCTCGACCTTAAGGCAGTATTTGACTCTGTTGATCGTGAGGTTCTATGGCAGTGTTTGTCACTGAAAGGAGTACCAAATAAGTACATTAACCTTATGAAGGCTCTCTACTCGAACAAAACTGGTCGAGTGAGAGCTTATGGTGAACTGTTATCAGAACTGATTTATTATTATTATTTATTATCTATTTATGGCTTTATTCAATATTATATTTTTGGTACAATATATAATTCTCAGCACAAATATATTTCAACAAGTTTCTTTTACGGAAAAAAGGATATAAAATAATGGTTAATAAAAAAAATCTAAAAAAAACTGTACAACTTTTCAATTAGAGTCATGTTAAGAATGCAGATTATTGACTAGGTTAACTCTAACAACCTGTTCGTCCCAGAGTATATTTGCTAGGTAAGGTACTATAGAACTTTTATACTTTTGCTTGCGTGCTTGGATTTTAATGTAATTTCGTCTCGTTCTACCAGAAGATATACAGTGAGAAAGATATGAGTGAAGGGAATGGTTAGTATCTGATAAAATAACACCTGCCAGGAGTTTGCATGAGTTTAGATGTCTATCCACAACCATATTAATTATGGTCTCGAAAGATTCACCACACACTTTGCTAACTGCCTTCAGCACTCTCAGCAGTACAGCAAAGTCTTTTCTCAAAAGCCAGGGAAAGAATAATGGAGAACAGTAAAGAATAATAGGTAATATGCAAGAATTGACAAATTGTAGGAGTAAATGACGAGTGATCCCAAGAGCTTGCAGTCTCTTAATGTAGTAAGTCAGACGGAAAACCTTCGATAACAGTAAAACGTGAGAAGACCAAGATAGATAAGAGGAAAAGGTAACACCAAGATAATTGATCGTCGACACTGTGTTTATCAATGAGTCGCCAACGACACAAGCATCATGGGATCTCAAAATGGTGTTTAAATGCCGATCATACCTCATGCTAAAGTTAACAGCTTGACATTTAGACGGATTAAGTATGAGACCATTAACAACACACCAACTATCAATACGAGATAAAACTCATTCATTTCTATAGGATGTAAAGAGGAAGAGATAGGCATACAAACAGTGAGATCATCTGCATATTTCACAGAAGTGTTTACTGTGGAAGATGGCAGATCATGTAGAAAAAAAGAGAAAAGAAGAGGTGATGTTCGTCAGGGCTGTCCACTCTCTCCATTCTTGTTTAGCTTTGTCGTTGACGTCCTTTTAGAGATAACACTTTCCTCATCTAAATTTCCAGGAGTTGAACTTCTACTGGGAGATCCACTTGTTGACTTAGAATATGCCGATGACATAGTTCTATTTAGTGAAGACGCTGACAAAATGCAGTCTGCTGACCACTCTAAGCAACAATGCAGGCATGTTCGGCATGCGATTTTCTCCCTCGAAATGCAAAATGTTGCTTCAGGATTGGGTTGCATCGGCACCCGAACTAGTGATAGGGAGTGAAGTTGTTGAGCGTGTCTACCGCTCCACTTATCTCGGAAGTCTCATCAGCCCTTGTGGTCTAGTGTGTGACGAAATCTCAGCACGGATACAGAAGGCTCGACTAGCTTTTGCCAACTTGCATCATTTGTGGCGTAGGCGAGATATCCGTCTAGTAACCAAAGGACGAGTTTACTGCGCAGCAGTTCGTTCCGTCCTACTTTATAGTAGTGAAACATGTCCAGTATGAGTAGAGGATATTCGTAGGTTACTAGTATTTGACCATAGGTGTCTTCGAAACATCGCTCGTATATCCTGGGACCACCGCGTAAGTAATGCAGTTGTTATGAAACGGGTACTAGGTAAGGATGGCAAATCAATTGATGAAGTAGTGAAACTTAATCAGTTGAGATGGCTGGGACATGTGTTGCGCATGCCCGACCACCGACTGCCCCGACGTGCTATGTTTTGTGGTGTAGGAGTAGGTTGGAAGAAAGCTAGGGGCGGCCAGACTAAAACATGGTAGAAATCCATGAAGTCACTGACAAGTGGACTGAGTCATGTTGGTAGGTGTAGACTACCTGGTTGGGGACCGCAAGATGATAGCAACCGATGGTTAGAGACCTTGAATGACATGACTCAAAATCGTTTGCAATGGCACAGGTGCATCCACTCTTTGTGTTCCCTTAAATTCTAATCTTCTGAATTATTCATATCCTCTTCTCTTTTTTCTGTTTCCTAATTTGTTTCATTTTATTATACTCCTTGAATAACACTTTCAAACCCTAATCTTTCCGATTACTGCTTATACTCTTACCACCTCTACCACTATGGGATTTGAATCGACAACTGCATCTCTGTGCTAATATGGTATGGCAACTCGAGCTGATATACGTCAAACGAAGTTCTACGTTGTTACTAACTGACTGACTGACACATTTATTGAAATTATTATAGGAAGATAATAATAGGAGTAGAACGTCTGACCCACAAGGCAGTGGAGCATCGTGAGGAGATGCAGTCTCATGGTAGCCGGTGACCAACGATTGGTTCATACGCCATTTGTTCCTTCAGGATACTGGAGCCCATGTGCACCATTGGTTTGGGGTCCGGTTAAAGCGCCGGACATTCGCTTTTCGTCCTCTCATTTTCGTAAACAACACCCCCGCCACGAGAAGGCAGTGAGTAGGACTTCCCTGGCAGGGGCTATATACGCATGGCCATGTGAGAGCATTTCGAGAGGGAGAGCGGACTCCCCCTACTCTCGGCCATAGCAGGGCATTTGGGGGCTGTTCTTCTTTACGGCCGGGAAACTTGGTCATGAAGAGTAGAAGATACTCGTAAGCTACTAGCATTTGACCGAAGAGGCCTTAGGAACATTGCTCGCATCTGCTGTGATCACCGTGTAAGTAATAGTGAGGTTAGATGGAGGGTATTAGGGAATGATGGTAAATCAGTTGATGAGGCTGTAAATCTTTATCCACTGAGATGGTTGGGTCACGTGTTACGTATGCCTGAACACCGATTACCACAACGTGCAATGCTGACTGGTGTTGGGAATGGTTGGAAGAAAGTTAGGGGTGGCCAAACCAAAACGTGTCATCAGTGCTTGAAGACACTAACTTCTGGTTTGAGCCATGTTGGTAGATGCAGACTACTTGTTTGGAGTCCGCGTGATTATCGTAACCAATGGTTGGAGACTGTGGATGACATGGCTCAGAATCGATCACAATGGCGTAGGTGTATACACTCTGTGCAATTATCGGCAAATAGGTTACCAAATTTCGGTATGGTTTTCTCCAAATTGAGATTATAGAATATGAATTAGTAACGAAATAACCATAAATCTACCACATCGCAGGTCTGATAACTAATCTTAAGATGGCGAGGTCGTTTTTTGCTATAAAATTCTTTCTGAGTTCAAATGTTTCATTCTATATTTTCATGTATAATTACTAACTTTCAGGGCTCGTTCAGTTTTTGAACGTGCTTTGGATGTGGATTACCGAAATGTTGGTCTTTGGCTTAAGTATGCCGAGATGGAGATGCGCCATAAACAGGTGAACCATGCTCGAAACTTGTGGGACCGTGCAGTTACTTTAATGCCTCGAGCTAATCAGTTCTGGTATAAATATACGTATATGGAAGAAACACTGGGTAATGTTGCTGGCGCCCGGCAGATATTCGAGAGATGGATGGAATGGCAACCAGAAGAACAGGCTTGGCATGCCTATATTAATTTTGAACTTCGGTATAAAGAGATGGATAGAGCACGTCTAGTTTATGAAAGATATATCCTTTTTAATTCAGTATTTGCGTGGTATCTTTTTAGGTATTATAAGGCTGTTTTATTAACTGTCGTAGATTATGGGAAGTGTTCATTACTTTAACAATTAAAAAAATTCCTTAACTGCCGTGCACTTGTTCTAGTTCACCCTGAACCAAAAAACTGGATTAAGTATTCAAAATTCGAGGAAAGAAATGGTTTTATCAATTCAGCTCGTCTGGTTTTTGAGAGGGCAGTAGAGTTTTTTGGCACAGATAATCCCCAGGCTCGTTTGTTGATTGATTTTGCCCGGTTCGAAGAACGTCAAAAAGAGGTAATCTTTTCATGTAACTTTCCTCTTTTAATTCTAGGTGTATATGTAAATATCATAACATATATAGTGCCAGGTTATCTTTAAATCAATTGCTGATGTATCACAATGTCATCTTAAAACTTAGATGTTTTATTTAAGCGCAACCTTTCAAGTGTGCATGATTTTATTAACTGACCCTGGTACGGCCGGGAGTGAAGAGAGTCAACTCTTCCTATTCCATCCCTTACAAAAATCGAACGACAAAATGTGGCGCATATGTATTTGGTACTTCCTCGTGCCAATATTTACGTGCTTAAATAAATAAATAAATCTGGTTAATGGTGTTTCCAACGATCTCTCAAATATTATGCAAGCTAACAGGTGTCAGATGTATTCTAATGAAATTGTTTTTCATAGTGCATCGAGTGCAGGTTTCGAACTCCACCACTTTTGGTCTTTCTTACTGCCTAACTGATGATACTTTTTGAATTTCATAACTTTCATATATTATAAAAAATGAATACTCCATATTTCGTATTAGTTCTTCGAGATTGCGTTAACTCAGTATTTTCCAGGTGATCACTTATGTTTCATTCTAGAGATCAATCGTAGTTAGAAATACTTGTGCAGGTTTTTAGAGTGAATTAAATGGATGAACGCTTGTTAATCGCAACACTTCAAATTATATGTTAGTGCCTGTTCATTTCTTTTAAGATGTTTAACATACGTGGTCTTTATACTTTGTTACATAACTGGACAACGTCTGGACATATTTTCTGAATGGCTTTTCTACTGCGTATTTTTAAATAACTATATACCGAAACTAAAATGTACAAAATGTGCTTCTCGGTTCAAGTCTATAAGAGTTAGTCAAGGGTTACTGTTCTCTACCGGGAGATGGTGATATTTAGCTGTTATATAATAATGGTCTGAGGTTGATACCTATCTCTACCTGCCACGGATTAGCTTCATTGGTCACAGGTCACTGGCTTCGTAAAATAATTCTCCACAACCCCACACCGATAATGTTTTTATCGTTGAAAACTTGGATATTCATCATGATGATAGATAACGAACTTGTAATTAGGAAAGGGGGGGGCTCAGCATGATAAGATAAACTGTTAAAATTGAGGTGAAAATGTAATCAGGAGGATCATAGAAACAGAAGTAAACAAGTTGGTGGTAAAAGGTCTATAAAGAAGATAAAAAGAAACTAGATGGCTGTGAAGAAAGAAAAGAATGAAGAGGAAAGAAAATTATAAGAGATTAAGGCCATTGTAGAAGAAGAGGTTGTACCAGTTTCTTTTGGACACAATTCTGGTTTTTACGTATGTATGGCTAATTTTTCGACAACGCTAAGATGTTCGATTATTGAGCTTCTCATTGGGGCATTCCCGCCTCTTTTCAGCCCAGCCGGAAAATGCGCTTGAATTCTTTTGGATTTTGCTTTCAAAGTGAGTGATATATTAAAGGTTTCTGAAGAGAGATATCTGCCAATATTAAAATAATTAAGCATTTTCACGTGTCATAGATTGTAGGTAAATTTTAGCTTACCAACAACTGTCCAAATCGAGTTCAGTATTTCTTATATCAAATTTTTGCTTTTCTTTTCTTTTGTGACGTTGCAGTTAACAACAAATTAATACTGAATATAAATACTTAACTCACTTGTTGTCAATCTATTTTTAGTATGAACGTGCTCGCGTTATTTATAAGTATGCACTAGAAAATTTACCAAAGGATGATTGTCAAGAGATTTACAAAGCTTACACACTTCATGAGAAAAAGTATGGCGATCGTCTAGCTATTGAAGATGTTATTTTAAGCAAACGAAAGTTTCAGTATGAAGAGGTAGGTCTCTAAACATCTGACCTATTTTGTATTTTTTTTGACACCGAATGTACTTGATCATGATAATAATGTTATCTCTAAAAACATGAAGTAGATTGTGCTGTTTATGAATAGGATGTTTGATGACCTTTGATTTTAAAGCTCTCATAAACGCAGTGGAAATCATCAGTCGATCACACGAAACCCCTGAGTTACTTTACCGATCACTAAAGCTGCACCTATTTTGTCGCTATCCGGTCTGTCACTACTTTTAATCAGTATCAATTCAATAATATACGCTCACTTAGTTGAGTTAATTAAGGTAACTAGTCGTTAGTTGAAGATCTAAATACATACAAGTTAGTCTTGATGTTTTACAATTCTTGTCTTATTTAAAGACTAAAATAACAAAAAATCTGCAGCAACAGACCATGATTAAATTCATTATAATCCTTAAAAGTAAAATCACAATAATAAACAGTACGTTTGGTTAGTTGCACTACTTTGTTGATATAAAAGATGGCTATAGATATATATACATGTCAGGTAGTCAGTTAGTCATTTTATTTACTTAACAGTTTATCAAATTTCAACTTTAGGAAGTACAAGCAAACCCTCATAATTATGATGTATGGTTCGATTATGTCCGTTTAATGGAAGAAGAGGGTTCAATTGAACAGACACGAGAAATTTATGAACGTGCTGTTGCAAATGTACCACCAATCAAAGTAAGTCTGAAAATTTTCAGTCAACATCCAGTGTGTAAAGGGTTTTATAAAATAAAGCTTAGAAAGATGATACACTATATTTATTTGTAAGAAATAACAGTACTTTAGCAAAGGTATTGACTTCGAAGTCCTAGTGAGTACATTATTTTTTCTGTATGTTGCTTAATTTTACTGGAATATTTCGATTGATTACAAGATTGAGAAAGACTGAAAACTCAAGTAAAATCTGAAGTGTATATATTTTTTCACCTTATTTCCACGAAACAGTTCTATTCTTTATATTTTCATCTTTGCAATTTAGTATTTACACAATTTTTGTTGATAACGAATCGTAAGTGGCAAAACACCCTGCTCTTTCATTTAGTATCTGTAACTTTTTTAATCCATACCTCCATATTACGGTATATTCTGTCCACTCCAGATGATTCAACAGTATGATGAAGTAGTGATTCAGTGATTAGAGGATTCGACTTTTAATCACCGTTAAAAATTATGGACCATTCTACACTTCTGTTTCGATAGTCTGGTAGTATTATGAATTTCCACATATAAAATAACTCAGAGCCGAGTATTTAGATTGGGGCTTTGTAAATGAGTTACATTAATGTTGTTTCCATTCCACTAACTTGCCCCCAAATGCCCTGCTATGGCCGAGAGTAGGGGGAGTCCGCTCTCCCTCTCGAAATGCTCTCACATGGCCACGCGTATATAGCCCCTGCCAGGGAAGTCCTACTCACTGCCTTCTCGTGGCGGGGGTGTTGTTTACGAAAATGAGAGGACGAAAAGCGAATGTCCGGCGCTTTAACCGGACCCCAAACCAATGGTGCACATGGGCTCCAGTATCCTGAAGGAACAAATGGCGTATGAACCAATCGTTGGTCACCGACTACCATGGGACTGCATCTCCTCACGATGCTCCACTGCCTTGTGGGTCAGACGTTCAGGTCAAAGGCTCGGGGTGTGGCCCCCTAACAAAACCACCTGCTTCGGTTTGGGCACCCGAGCAGTATCACAGCCCTCACACAAATCAATTGAGATTTGTGTGGCGCATATGTACTTGGTGCCTCCCTGTACCTATACTTATGTGTTAAAACAAATAAATAAATAAATAAATCCACTAACTTCTATAAGGTTACCGAGTTTTGTTTCTATTTTATAGGAAAAACGATATTGGAGACGCTACATTTATCTTTGGTTGAATTATGCACTATATGAGGAACTATCAGCAATCGATCTAGAAAGAACACGTCAGGTGTACAGATTTTGCTTAAAGTTAATACCGCACAGACGTTTCACATTTGCTAAAATCTGGCTATATGCAGCTAAGTTCGAAATCCGTCAAAAGAAATTAACAGATGCGAGGAAACTACTGGTTAGTTTTTACGTTACTTGTTTGTTTTCTTGTTGCTTTACATAGGTTAGCTTCTGGTAATTCTTTACATCTCTACCAATAAGCAAGTTCTATACAGCATGTGGCCTCATCTTTTAGGAATTACATAGTATTGTATTTTTACTTAAGGCAATATATATGTGTATATTCTTAATAGTTGAGATCATGAGTCAATTGAAGCTAGACTATCTTTGAAAACCTGGAAGCACTGGACGGCCGTTTGTTAGTAGATACATCTTATTCCTCCTATTCGACAGCTTAGGTCATGCAAGCAATTCGATTACTGTGAATTCAGTTGGTTTTGGATGGAGGTTGGAAAAACGGAAGGTATTAGAGACTGGTACGATACTCAGTGCTTATTGATGAGGTTTTTTTTACTTAGGAACAAAGCGCTGGTACCAGGACTTATTACAGCTAAAATTATGGGAGATGAATTAAGTGAATTAGAATGTTGATTCTTCCTCTATTTGTAATGAATTAACCTATTTATCTAGTACGACAAATAATCACATTTATACCATATTGTCCTTAAAAAGCCTTTTTAAAAGGGTTTATATTACTGTGAGGGTGTATGTTGTGTAAGGATTTTATGTTAACATCACTAAATAATTTACCGCCCTATTTAATAAGTTATGAATATTGTAGCGTTGTTGTCATTTTTTGTTTTGCATCTGGTTACACTTTATTTTTTCAACAAAACCTATAAATTCCTGTGTTTAAAGCATTTAAGTGTAACACATAGAGTAAAATTTGACACAACTTCGTTAACTGAGAGCAAACGTTCTAGGTCATACTACTTTCATTATATGAAAATACATTAACCAATAGAATCCTATCTCATCATTAAGACGTTTATTTAGCAACATAATCGATATAATGTTTGTAAAAAGTCTGAAACCACAAGCTCTTTGAACTGTTGCCATTCTTACGAGTACTCATGCTCTTAAACTCAAAAACATTTCACGCACCATAGAGATGCTAAAAGTGATATCCATCGGAGTGAATGGCTTATACTGTGTGATAGTCAAATTAATACTTTAATTCTGACCGAATTCTATTAATCAACGTATAGACATTATGAAAAATCACTGACGTAATGTTTATATGTGATTCTGTAAGACAATTGTGGTTTCGCACAACACTATGTACAAATAAATGTCATCTGATTTTTTTTCTACTGATAATTGTAACATGGATATAAATACACTCAAATGAAATTTTTCGCGCCTATTTTTTTGTAGGGTACCGCTTTGGGTATGTGTCCGAAAGATAAGCTATTCCGCGGTTACATTGAATTGGAGATCCAATTAAGAGAATTTGACAGGTGTCGTAAATTATATGAGAAATTCCTGGAGTTTTCTCCGGAAAACTGTACTACATGGATGAGGGTATGTCATTTCACCTCTATAGTGCTCTATTCTTTACTACATATTTGAATTTTTCCTATTTGATATATCATATATGTGCGCGAAATTCCTAGTGATTTATTTTAAAGTAGGAAAACGATGTTTTCTTAAAAAGAGGTAAGTATTAAGCATGTCTTTGACCTTTTATTGAATGTAAATGCCTCCACGTTAGTGATACTTGTTATGCATTAGAGAATATTTCGAGGTAAAAAAACAATCAGAATGATTAACGTGGATCTTATCAAGAAAATCTGATTGGTGTGTTTGTATGCTGGGAGTTTTGGTTTCCGTTTGCAATAATAATTGCTTACTGTAATACCATATGCCGATGTGCAGTATTTTAAAGCAGGTCAAATAAACTTCACTGTATGCAAACCACACTATACAATATCTTGGTTCTTGACTCGTGCAGACCTAAGATATACTATGTCCTGGGGATTTTAGTTTTATCTTACTGTACTACGAAATATCGACTGCACTTAACGTCGTATACTTTGTACAGCATCATCATTCAGAAGAACTAGTAGTTGGATAATCTGGAATTATGAAGTCTTATAGCTAAAAGACGAAAATTGTAGGCATAAGGATTTGTAGAGTCTGAATACCATGACTATTATTTTACATTTCCAAGGAAGAAAATTGTATTCAGCAAGACAAGACCTGAAGTTCATTATTTTCCATCATTTCTCTAAAATAATCTGTCTGATAGATAAAAATATTCTGTGTGGATTATCAATTTGCCAATAATATTCAAAGAATTTATCCGTTCATTGTTTATACCTAGTTGGCTCTACACAATTCAATGAGAGCCAATAATAATTTTTATCCTTTTACTTTCATATATCAACGATTGAAAAGTATGCTGAATTGGAAAGTCTTCTGGGAGAGACGGATCGTGCACGAGGTATTTATGAATTAGCGATCAACAGGAAATTGCTGGATATGCCGGAATTATTATGGAAAGCGTATATTGACTTCGAGATTGAACAGTATGATTGGGAACGTGCTCGGTCACTTTATCGAAGACTACTAAGTCGAACACAACACGTCAAAGTAAGTGTTGTTTATACTGGTTAAGTCATAAGATAAAGGACTGTCACTATGAAAGATAACTGTTTTCAGCAGGTTGTACATTCTAGACAAACAAAATGAAATCAGTAAGTGGATAATAGTATCGTAATGGGTAGTTATAAAATTTATGTTTGTTTAGTTCTAGCTGAGACCATTTTCATTATATTTGTGTGTACGCTGAGATACTGCCCGGGTGCCCAGACCGAAGCAGGTGGTTTTCTTAGGGGGCCACACTCCGAGCATTCGACCTAAAGGTCTAACTCACAAAGCAGTGGAGCATCGTGAGGAGATGCAATCCCATTGAAGCCGGTAACGAAGAAATTGGTTCATACGCCATTTGTTCCTTCAGGATACTGGTACGGCTCCAGTATCCTGCGGGAACAAATGGCGTATGAACCAATCGTTGGTCACCGGCTACCATGGGACTGCATCTCCTCACGATGCTCCACTGCCTTGTGGGTCAGACGTTCAGGTCAAAGGCTCGGGGTGTGGCCCCCTAAGAAAACCACCTGCTTCGGTCTGGGCACCCGAGCAGTATCACAGCCCTCACACAAATCAATTGAGATTTGTGTGGCGCATATGTATTTGGTGCCTCCCTGTACCTATACTTATGTGCTAAAATAAAATAAAATAAAAATCAGGATACTGGAGCCCATGTGCACCATTGATTGGGGATCCGGTTATAGCGCCGGAAATTTGCTTTTCGTCCTCTCATTTTCGTAAACAACACCCCCGCTACGAGAAGGCAGTGAGTAGGACTTCCCAGGCAGAGGCTATATACGCCTGGCCGTGTGAGAGCATTTCGAGAGGGAGGGCGAACTCACCCCACTCCCGGCCATACCAGGGTATTTGGGGGTAAATGATCAGTTTATGATGATTGCATTTCAGTTGTCTTTGATTGAAACCATGGACCGATTGATGTTAGACCATCATTGGAAACCTGAAAGCACTGGACGGCCGTTTCGTCTTATTGTGGGACTCCTCAGCAGTGCACATCCATGATCCCGCTCGCGGGATTCGAACCCAGGGCCTTCAGTCTCGAGCGCGAACGCTTAACCTACTGGACCACTGAGCCGATGTTAGACGACTCGCTGTGTTCAATCATTGCTGTCTCCGAAGGATTGCTGACATCCAGTGGCAACACCATGTTGGTGATGCAGAGGTCCGGCATCGTGTGTTCTGTCACAGAGACAATAATGCAATTGGTGTCACCATCTTGAAACACTGACTTTGGTGGCTTGGACATGTTCTACGAATGTCGTCCCAGAGAATTCCTCGTCGTGCATTATTTCTGACTCTGGGTCTGGTTGGAAAAAGCGGAGAGGTGGTCAGTATATGACATGGTGTCGTGGTATGAAAGAAAGCTGCAAAGGGCTAGCTTCTGTTGGTCCTTCACGACTCCCTGGCTGGGGTCCGAGAGACGGTGTAACACAGTGGCTAGAAACGTTATCAGATGTGGCTCAGAATAAAAGCCAGCCTGCTGTAACCTTCTTTATAAAAAGTGGTTGCCTCTTCCTTAACTGTAAGATTTCCTCTGATTGTACCTTTTCGTTTCCCCCATTATCGTTTTTTTATAATTCCCTACGTCCCTTACCTTTTTTTCCTTCTCTTTAAATTCTCATTGTTTTGTGTGGCGCATATATATTTGTTGCCCCCTTGTACCAATATTTATGTGTTCAAATAAATAAGCTGAGACCACTTATCTTAAATAACTTGCTATAATCAACTACGCCGAACTCCAAAAACGTTACAATCTACGCTATGGAATGATCGCAGTCTCTCCCTATCCAAAACGCATCCGTAATCCGAGACCGGTGAGATCAACGTACCCTGTGTATGGCAGGAGTCATCAAATGAGAGTAAAATGGACTGTTCATATATAAAAAACTCATCTCTAATATAACTGGTTTCTTAAGGTAGACCTAGAGGCATCTTTTATCCTATGTTGTTAACATAATTTCGATATCACGTGAGCGTAATATTAGTTTAATCTACCCCGATGACGACCCTTATGTTTCAATAAGTTTAAAATTAAAATGTATCTCACTGTCTGAAACTAAGCCCACACAATTGGATTGCCCACTTGTTTGGTAACCAAAGTAAATAGCTTGTAAGTTATCAGTCTTAGAGGCAACGTTGGGTGTGATTGTATACAGTGGGCGACATAAACGTAATGTACTCAAGTGTACGTTCTATTTTACCAACCGATTTAAGTGTTAGTGCATCCATCGGGTCCGCATTTCTGTTTAGTTAAAATGTTCGGGTTTGGAAGTTGTGCATATTTTATAAACTTCACCTGCTCAGGAATTTGTGAGTTACAAGCATTTCATTTGTATTTTGACAAACATAGAAATATCTCAGAGCTTAACTAAACACTGATGTTAACAACATCTAAATGACTGAAATACTCCAAATCATATCACAAGTCCGTACTTTCAGAAAGCAGTGTTACACTGTATTATTGACAAATTACACCATAAAAGAAGAGAGTGGGGTATTTACCAGACAAACCTAATTGGATAATTATAGTAAGACTTGGTTTAAGAATGATTGTGGATTATCAGTACTCCAACTTGGTACCAGATTTCATCGTACATATTAATTCGCTTGTCAGTGATGACTAAATATTTTCAATTGGTTCTTATCGATAGGTATGGTTAAGTCTTGCAAACTTCGAATTGTGTGCCTTGAACAAACTCACAGCCGCTGATTTAGATGATGAAGATTTAGAACATTTGAAAGATGTTGAACTGGACAAAGAAACATTAATACAAGAACATAATGAAAACGAAATCAACAAAGCAGTAGAACGTTCACGTAAAATCTACCAAGAAGCAAATAAAGCTCTGAAATATATAGAGGATAAGGAGCAACGTGTTCGACTACTTGAAGCTTGGAAGGAATTTGAAGTAAGTTATTATGTCTTGTTTGATTTTCCGAATAGGAATTTACCTGTTATATCCATATCAGTTATTATTCGTATATATAGGTAGCAAAAGTGTTTACTTCCGAGCGCTCTTAGATCGTAGATATTTATAGTGACTCGTTTTAAAGTTCGAGTTTTGTAATCATTCTCAAGACTTCAATTTCTAGAATGTCCTATCCACAGTCCCCATAATTAAAAAGTAGGTGTATCTTTTTGCTTAATAACAATATTATTTGATTGAGTGACAGATTTTGAGTACGTTACTACGGTTACCATTTGGAATAAGAATAGTTTTACAACTGTAATTTTTCTCTCATAAAATCCAATGTGCAAGACTGTACTGTACACTGAAAAATTCACTTATTATTACTATCGGCGCCGCTGATTAAAAATGTTGTGCATACCCACATAAAATGTCTAAAATCCTAGATTTTTTACACCGTTGATCTCTTATTACAGTATTTAACACAAGGAGTGAACTGTTTGTAAATTAGCTATTGTCTAGAATGATTGTCATATCCGGTTTCATGTTAGTAGCTGTCATGATCATTGCTATTTACAATACGATTTCTAAAGTCTAACAGATCGTATCTCTTAATTTTGGTTCCTTCCTAAATTTTGCTCCCTTTAGTATGAATATGGAACTGAAAAAACACAGCGAGATGTTGATAAACTACAACCACAGAAGGTCGTTCGCAGTCGCCGACTTGGTGATGAACGTAGTGGTTGGGAAGAATATATTGAATATACATTCCCCGATACAGATGCAGAAAAGCCAAACCAAAAATTGCTTACAATGGCCGCTAGATGGGCAGAACAAATGGAGAGGAAAAAAGCAGCTGCAGAGGCCGAAGGTAAAGAGGATAGCGATTCTAGTGAAGAATCTGAAGAAGAAGAAGAGGAAGATGGTTTACAAGGTGATGAAGATGATAATCGTATTCCTGAGAGAGAACCCACATGGTTTGACCGAAAAAACAAAGAAGAAATAGAAATCGACGAAGAAAGTGATTAAAAAAAGCCCACTTCTATACTTTTGTATATTTTTTAAAATCTTGTACAGTCAACTATACATTTATTAAATCCAATAGAAAAATAGCTTGTTTTTTTAATGATAGTAGAGATATTCACTAGTTTATGAATTTTCATCTGGCGGTAACCAATCGACAGTAACTGAGCACTGTGATCCATTAAAAAAGTACCAGTTTCCATGCGGCGCACCTTTTCGTGTTATGGCCTAAGAAATTGAAGTTATCAATACAGAAAGTCGATTTGAAAAATATTGCAAATTAGTTACAGTAATACTGACGTTAAAATGGCTGGTTGCGGATAGGGACGTTAATGAACATCAGGTAGATAAATGAAAAATGACACTTGTCAACTCGACTATTTGTACTACCAACGAAAACATCAATCTGTTCACCAAGATCCCTTCATACAACATCGTAGTACACCTCACTGTGAGACGCAGTCGTTTAGCAAGAGTTGCACTCATTTAAGCAACGAAAATGTTTTACTCAGGGAAGATAACGTGATCTTGAAGCCCGTAAAACAATTTCAGACGTTTATTTACGACCAGCATTGACATATTATGCTAATCGGTAATATAGTTAAATGGGGAAGTCTCTTTATTAGATTTATTATTATTCCACGAGTCAACTGTTTGTTGATCTCGTTTACTGGTCTAAAGCATAGAAAGTGTTGACCACAGGATATATGTAACAAGGTCGATAGTTAATCTGTGTTTACTCTGTTTACCTAAATTCGTACACTGGTAAGCAAGATATTCTGCATTTTTATTTTTGCAACTTAACTTCATAACCCTCTATATGTAGTTGGACATTGCCGTAGCTCCTACCACTGCAATAATGCAAGATAATACTCGGTTTATTCATATGGTGCCTCTTAAAGAGATCACGATTTATTGAAGATAATAACAAAGTAGCTTTTAATTACCCTGATTATTTCTTGGGAAACAACACCACCAAGTACTGGATTAACAGCTGGGATTGTAGGACCAGAGCAACATCTATGTAGAGTATTAGAAAGATAACATGCAAAATCTGAGATATAATAATGAGGCGATCTTATAAAGTGACGTTAAAAATATAAACATTATTCGAATTTTATTCCCAACATCTATTTACATCAAAATTCTCTAATAGCTCACTGAGTTTATTTTGTAACTCAAAAAGTTTTCTCTAGTTTACAGTATTAAGTAGTAGTTGACCGAACTTCAAATTCCCAAAGTATTGGGGATTTTGTATCCGACATTAGTCGACGCAGTATTTTAGTCTTGCTCGGTACCTGAGCCGCTTTAATTAAATTTCACAATTTGTACGCGAAGTTTTCATTTTGAATATTTAATTAAGAAACCCATCTTTGTATCGAAGTATTGGGGTTAATAACAATATTAAACGAGGTGGATGTGCACTATTGAGGAGTCCCACAGCAGAACGAAACGGCCGTCCCGTGCTTCCAGGTTTTCCGTGGTGGTCTAGCTTTAATTGACTCATGATCTCAGCTATTAAAATTATTATACAAGTGTTAGTGCTAAGGATGCTAAAAACCCATAAAAAATATATATATATATATATATATATATATATATATATATATATATATATGGTCGCTTGTGTTTTTTTATTACTTTTTTGACTGATTTACGAAGTGATGGAATTGCATTTCTAAAACTTTTCAGTACAGTTTTCATGATGGGTAAAAAATGACAGAGCTCACAATTGATTAAATTGCAATATCATACGTTATAACTGCGTTTTATCTGAGAACAGTAAGATTATAACTTACTCTAAGTCTTCAATGGAAAGCATTGTTTCATCTACATCCAGAATCTTTGATACCTTTTGCCATTGGGATTGTAAATATGGTAAAGTAAATGGTGCTTCGTCGATAGAGCATTGGCTTAAAACTGAAGATTAAGTGATGCAAAAATTGTCGAGTATGATATAAACAACGTAATAAATGACTGAGAATTAAATATTAACTTCATGGTTTGCCGTATTACACCAGAAGCGATTGAAAAGTTTCGAAAAAAGGCACTTTGCATGCCGTCTCTTAAAATAAGTTTTGGTTAGATAACGAAGAAAGCATTTGTTGTTTATTTATTCTTCCATGTTTGTGAAAATAGTCTTGCTACATAAATATACTGAGTAGGACTTCTTTGGAGGCTATAAACAATTGACTGAAACCGTGTCTTCAATATTATTGCATGAATAGAACATTGGTCTTTGTCAATAATTTTGCACCGAGTAGCTGCGTGCAAATATGAATTTTGACAGACCATGTTATCGGTTAGTTAGAAGACAGTTTATCATTGGCCGATGAACGCGTATACGTAAAATAATGTTGGATAACCATTCGATGCAAATCGTTTGGCGGCGCAGTGGGGAAGTGAATAAGACAATACCCACAGTTTCGTTATTAAAGCTTACTATATTAAATCAAATTGCAGTGTCCAACTCAGTCTACTTCGAGAAAGAAATTTGAATTATTCACTGAAGAATTAACTGAAACCTCTCCACTGCATAATTTTCAGTTATGAAAGAGATATTTTATCTAAAAGTTTAATGTATTTTATTCAGTACGAAAACAGTAGTTTTTACATGCTATTAGATACGGCAGTGTATAAAACTATCAGTGATACCTAGCTGTACAAATAGAAGTAGATAGAATTCAAATACGTGACAATCTCTATTTCCATAGATGTTATGGAGCTAAGATATTGAACATATTATTTTTTTAATGGTTGGGATAAGTTCTGGTCATGTCATGTCTAATCATACAACTTGATGAGTGTGATAACTAAAGACGATCTCTCTACGACATATTAAAATAGTAATTACAAGCTACTGACAACGTACAAACAAATGATTAGGTTGAGAAATGTGAGTTAAAGCTAATATGTTGTTATACTTTAAAGAATCTTAAAGTCAAACTATAATAAAAGCACGATATTTACTAATAAATGAAGTAGGGATTGAAGCGATTTCAGTAGCTAGGAGGTAACTGATAATAGAGAAAGATTTATATAGACAATATCAATTACATGAAGACTTCTATAAAGTAGTTTTTTAAATAAAACATACCTTGCATAAGGAAATATCCCTTGGGAATATATTTAGCATGTGATCTATTTTTTAACATGTTAGAAATAAGACATAAGCTGTCTAACAGGTGACAATAGTTGAATGTCTGCAACAAAGAGGAAAACACTATACATAGAGTATACAATATACATAATGAACTAGGGATGTGTACAAGATCTATACAGCCTCAATACCACTTATTAATTACAAAATTTCTGTTTTATGTAACCGGAATGAAGTAAATAAACCCATAAAAAAAAGTTGCTTCAATAACAGGGTATTAATAATTGTGAAAAAATTCACCACCCATAATTTTTTAAACCCAGAGCGCACATGTCTACTAATCCAAGAGTTGCGTGTTTAATTTACCGAGAAGAAAAACCAAGCAATCTTTCCAGTTTTATATAGCCAACGGTACTTCGAAAATCAATCCATACATTATTGAGAATAAAATTAAGAAGAAGAATATCGAATTGATATTTATTATCAGTCTAAGTTATCAATAATTTTCTTATTTTCCCAGTGATTAATGATATATCCGTGCAATTTTTATTGATTTTGATTATTTTACTAACTGTTGTATCAGATGCTAGAAGCAATAATTTTAATAATTTTTAAAGGAGAAACTGACCTAACGGACTGAATGTTTAACAGCGTATGGTGGTATATCGCAAGAGGGGATTTGCAGTAATAAAGTTCCACCATATCTTATTAGCCTTTCTTATTTACGAATATTTTTATTGATTTTATAGAGAAAAATACAGTGTGCATTTTGAAAATATTGAGATGCAGTAACCATATAATATTTTCTTGTGCTAAATTGACAATCATACACAATTTCTACCAGTTGGAATTTGAATAAAAATCACACAGTTAAATTCACATGATATTGAATACGGAACTGTTTCGTTGGATCATCACACGTCTAGTTCTGGTTGCACTACATCTTAACGTAGTTTGCTTATTAATATTGATGAACACAATACCAGATTTTGCAGGCGAAACGGTTTATCCAGGTATATATCAACTTTAAAATTACCTTTTTTGCAAGTACCGTCTCTGTATTTGATGGTTCACTAGTTTTATTTATCTTTTGAATTGAACCAGATGATGATTCTGCCACTGATCTTTTCTTTACTACCACATCTTCACTAAAACAGTCAAGATAACAATAATTACACACTTATTGAAATTATTATAGGAAGATAATAATAGGAGTAGAAGTGTAGTTATTTACGAGCAACTTTAAAAAAATTCATTTCATAATTTTAAAACCAGTCTCCCATAGGGAGCGTGGGAGAAAATGCAGGTTAAAAAGATATTTGCAAGGATATTAACAAATTTTCACGTAGTTCGATTCGATCAGCAAAACCTTATATTTATCGTTCACGTCCAGGGGTGAACCAATTGGAATCAAGGAAACATCTAAGTTTTCACGAAGTGCAAATGTCACCTAATTGGTTGGTGTTTGACGAAATCTCTGCACGGATTCAGAAAGCTCGTTTGGCTTCTACCAACTTACGTCACCTATGACGAAGGTCAGATATCCGTCTATCAACTAACGGACGAGTATACTGCGCAGCAGTTTATTCTGTTCTACTTTACGGCTGGGAAACTTGGTCATGAAGAGTAGAAGATACTCGTAAGCTACTAGTATTTGACCGAAGAGGCCTTAGGAACATTGCTCGCATCTGCTGTGATCACCGTGTAAGTAATAGTGAGGTTAGACGCAGGGTATTAGGTAATGATGGCAAATCAGTTGATGAGGTTATGAATCTTCATCGACTGAGATGGTTGGGCCACGTGTTATGTATGCCTGGACACCGATTACCACGGCGCGCAATGCTAATCGGTGTTAGGGATGATTGGAAGAAAGTTAGGGGTGGCCAAACCAAAACGTGTCATCAGTGCTTGAAGACACTAACTTCTGGTTTGAGCCATGTTGGTAGATGCAGACTACTTGTTTGGAGTCCGCGTGATTATCGTAACCAATGGTTGGAGACTGTGGATGACATGGCTCAGAATCGATCACAATGGCGTAGGTGTATACACTCTCTGTCTTTCCTTAAACTATGAGATTAAAATTGCTTCATATCTTTCTTTCTGCGAACTATTTCTTTCTTCCTGTACTATATTCTTACATGCAATCTTTTATATATATATATGGTTGTGAACAGCTGACGAGAAACCACGAAATATGATGATTTCATCTCATTTCGCCTCGATTTTCGCTTTGGCTTTATTCAAATTCGAAAAGGGAATTAATTGTATGTAAAATATGTTTACACCTAGCAATATTAGTGTTTTATTTTCCATGAACTATCCATCTACAAAGGCTGTTTTTTAGTTGGCTAGGAACTAGCTGAAAATTTGTCATTGTGTTCGTGCCTGTACTACACTCCTACGGACATTTTTATAGTTAGTGAAATGTTCTTGACATGATGAGTGAAATTCAAGTGCTTCCTCACAATCCATTGTTAACAGATAGTCTGAACATAACTAGAGAGAGAGGAGTTTTCACTAACTAGTTTAGTAACAAACGTTTGTCTCAACCTACGCTAATAAGTGATTGATGTAATTTCTAAATTTATATAAGCTCCATAGAAATAAAAAATAATTAATAAATTTCAATTATCATTCACTAATGACGTTGGTTGAGAATTAACAGAGCTCGAAATGGAACTGTTAGAAGCAAGGTATTTCATTAATGATATATAGAGAGGGTTATTGAGTAAAGTGAATTTGAGTGATAGTGACCACTGTAAATGAATTCAAACTCTCTATAGATAGCTATCGATTGTTTGATATAACGCAAAATAGTTGCTGTGAAACATCTGTTAGACGTTTGAGACTTGAAAGGATTTTGTAAATT